GGGGGGGGGGCACGAAGGCACGGCACCTTTAATCCGTGCCAGGCCAATCTGGATGACGTTGACACACTCCCGCCTCCTCTCTCTCTCCCTCTCTTTCTCTCTCTCTTTCTCTCCCTCCCTCTCTTTCTCTCTCTCCCTCTCTTTCTCTCTCTCCCTCTCTCACCCCCTCCCTCTCCCCCTCTCTCATGGGCACTTCTCGGCTTTGGGGCTGCTGCTCGGGGATCCAGCCAGCCATCCCAGCAGTGCGCTTTGATCTCAGTCGGACCGGGCCGTCGGATCTAGCGCCGGGAATTACAACATTACGACGCCAACCCTTTGACTAGTCAATACAGAGGAGCGGAGAGGAGGAGGACGTCGGAAGGGGGCCGTCATCAACGATAGTAATCCGGTGAGATGTCATCTGAAAACGCGAAACTAGTACTTTGAATACTAGTCATAGTTGTAGTGCCATAACAGGTCACGAATCAAATATTTTGTGTAAAATATATGAAAATTACAAACAAGGATTTATCTCATTTATATAGTTGCGATTTACGAACTTCTTTAGAGCATTTTTTACTGAAATGCTCTTGCGGGCACACAGTTCTACAGTGGCGAGCTTGTTCTATTCTCGCGTTACCGACTGAGTACAAAAAGCCAATGTCAAGGATCACTCTTTATTTAGCCACTTTGCCCTGCTACACATACTCCTTGTCTTTCTTCTCCGAACTGTACGCTGAACACACACACACGCGGTATATTGCTTCTTCTTGGAAACATAGGAAAGGGAAGGAGGCGAACAAAGAGGACCCTGCGTTCAAGGGTGAACAGAGGTCAGGTGGAGATTTCCTGCCCACAATGTGAACAACCAATGTTGCAGCTTGGTTTCGTTTTACCAAAACGAGAACGGGCTTTTCCAAACAGACCACGTGTCAGCTCCTACGAGTTGTATGGTCGGTAACCTGATGAGTGTAACTTATCAATGCATCTGTGTAAGTATGTGTGTCCGGCCAAAGAGAAATGTTTATATTTCATACGGGTGATCACTGGCCTAATATCGACTACTACTACACCCCCCCCCCCCCTCTCTCTCTCTCCTGCGCTCCCCGCATAAATAACGGGAAAGGAAGTTATCCCAGCAGGTGGCTCCTCCCAGCCCCGCCCGACCACTTTTTTTTGCTGGCTTGCTTAGAAAAATGAAGGCATTTGTGTGCCTCTGCGGGCGCGGGGCGTGGCTCGGCTGGGAGCGGCGGCCCAGGCGGCGGACCAGGGCCTTAGTTGTGGTTGAGTGCCTCGCCTCCCTTCAGCCCGCGGGCCTGCCGCAGCTCAACCGGCTAGGTTCGTTCGCAAACACCGCACCTCTTCGTCTCACCGCAACCGATAGGGAATAGAGGATTGGGGGGGGGGGGCGAGAGAGAGACCGGGAGAGAGGAAAGGAGGTGGGAGAGAGGTGAGTGCACCGGCCCATCTCCGTACGTGAGGCCAAAGTTTTCGATATAGCCGCGCGGAGTGGGCGCCGCGATGTGCAGGTTTCCAATAACGGGCGCTGCATCCTCTAAAGGAAGATGTGGTCGGGTCTGATTTGGCAGAACCCCCTACTTTACCGCTACTGCGCCCCATATTTGAATAAATCGGGTCGATTTTTCTCTGCGTAGCTTTGGTTTTATTGACTTGATTAGTGTCACTGGAAATTAATTTAATTACTACACACTAAAACCTTCTGAATTTGTTTTTTTCATCGCTTACTAAAAACTGTTAACATGCTAAGCTGACAAATCAGTAAGCTATATGAACAAAAAAGTTTTGAATATTTCAGTGCGTAGGCCTACTGATTGAAATATCTTGCTCCCGGGAGGCCTGAGGCCTCCCACATAATCCTGGCTACGGTATTCCACGGCCCGTATTCCCGACCCCTCACAACTGCTCAGCCCTACTACTCATTTGTCCGTTTTCCTGTTTCGGTCTGTTCTCTCTATCCCCACCCCACCGAACCCCCAGCAGCAGTGTGGTCTTCCCGTTGTTCCTCGGCGAGCGAGACCGAGCGAGACTGCCTCCGCTCCGTAGGACTCAAGCGTTTTCTGCTTGTTATTAAGGGCCCCATTTTTCACGGTGTAGCTTTGCAGGACACCACCCCCTTTGGGGGGCGGCAGAGAGGAGCGGGGAGGAGGTTGGGGGTGGTGCGAGTCTTTGCAAGCCGCCCCGCCACAGGAGATGTCAAGGACTTACGATATAGATGCAGGTCGTGTAGACGCTACCCCCTACCTCCTCCGACCTCTTCTTTCTCTCTCCGTCGCTCACTTCGCGCGCTGCTCACACACACACACACACACACACACTCACTCACTCGAACACGCACACGACGGCAAGGGGCCGTGCCTCGCCTGGCCTCGCCTCATACGCCATTCAGTCGAGTCGCCGCACCAAACTTTCGTCATTCAAACAACGTTGCGTGTGTCGCTTTGAAGGGAATTTCATGAAAACAGACGGCCCGCTGAGACAGAGTTGGCGGGGATTAAATTCAACCTTACCCTCCTTTCATTAAGGATATTGCGTAACTTTCTTGCGTTTTATCAATTGAACACAATTTCTCCTTAGCTTGCTGGGTAAAGCGCGATGGTGGTTTTTCTTGAACTAGTGACACGATCATTAAGACCATAGCATCATGATGCTATTTTTTAATGCTCTCAGAAATCAGACTGCTTTTCGCCCCCTCCTTTTCGATGCTATTTATGCCACTTTCGCCGCCCGGCCCCGGGCGCCTCGCCCCGCTGCGGGTCCCCGCGCCCTAATCGCCTCGCCTGCGCCCTCCGGTGTACGACACGACCCTCTGAATTATTTCCACTCCACTCTCCCGGCGCCCGCAATTCTGCCGATGGATGTTTTATTTGCAAGGTAATGCGAAAAGAGACGACTTTGTTCCCATTCCCGCTCATCCTCTCGGTCGCATCTTCCTCTCTCTCCCCGCTCTCCCCGCTCTCCCCGCTCTCCCCGCTCTCACTGCTCTCCTCCCTCCCTTCGCTGTTGTTGTCTTGGCAATCATACTGGCTCGCCGAATTCGAAGCCCCCGGCCCTCTCTCTCTTACTCCTCGCCCCCTCGCCCCCTTGCCTTATAACAGAAGCTTGCTCCGGCGCAGCGGAGGAAGAGGGATCGGATCGTGCCGAGCCTGGCCGAGGGTCGAGGTGGCGAGGAGTGTGCGCCAAGGGCGCCAGAGGGAGACGTTTCGTTAGCACTTTGAGGACTCTCCCCTCCCCCTCCCTCTTCTTATTTCTCTGTTCTCTTCTCCGTTTCATGTGGGGCTGGGGGGTGTTCTCTCCTCCTTCGCCGCCCCCTTTTACCCTTATTTATGTTCACGCACACGATAAATTGATTAACGCTCTACTAAAAGTTTGACTGACTTGTAAAAAATGTACTTTATTTTCTACAACTTTTTTAATTAAGGTTTAAAAGCACCGTAGTTTCATTACCAGCGTGGTTGTGGTAAACCACGTAACCACTCTGCAGAGTATTATATTCCTGGCGCCTCACGATACACTATCCCCCGACTCGTCGCGGAGGGACGGAAAAATTGTCTCCGCGACGGCGAACGTAACTCAGCGTGTCAGAGGCGAGGCAAACAAGTGTGCGGCGATTATGTAGCTTTGGAGGGCGGGGTGGCATGGCGTCCTCGCGCAATGCGCACAATTGTGTAGAACAAATTATTGACAATGTTCTTTTATCTCTTTCCACAGGGGGAGACTGAATGAGGATGCGTCCTCCGCGGACTACCTCAGCGACCTGCACGTCGTCCTCAGGGAAAACGGTGAGTCGGCTCAACTTGTTGCATGCGATATTGCAAGAGGACACGCAGACAATTAGTTATTTATTTGTCCCCTCGAGCTTCGTTTTGAAACGGTGTCAGTGCCGAGGGGTCCCCCACTCGTCAACTCGTTGTACACGAGGAAAAATACTCGCAAGATACTCGCGGCAACTCGCGACAACTCGCGAAAAATTTGCGAAAACTCGCGAAAAAATCGACAAATACTCGCTTAATACTCGCCATTACTCACATAAACTCGCGGATACTCGCTTATACTCTCGAATACTCGCGGATACCCACGCAACTCGTTGTACACCCACTTGGAGAGTGGAGGACCCCTCGGTCAGTGCGCTGCAGACGAAAGGCTTGATTGCTCCGCTCTTTGACAAAGTTACTTGCGACGCTAGTGGCAATATTTGCTGTCGGGCGTTTCGCTTGAAACTGCGCGCGGAATGCGCCGTCGTTCTATCGCCGAGTAACACTTTCACAGTGCTCTACGGAAATGCAAATTATTTCACACGCCCACTTATAAAGCATTTCCTGGCACTGCACGTTTAAAACAGTCGTCGTTGTCGTTATCTGATTTGTAAAAAAAGAAAATTTGCAGCAGGCACCGCCGGTTTATGAGTGGATAATAGTGTACATATTTTCATGGTGTAGGGACTACGCAATGAGCCTCGTTGGGTGACCACCACCTGGATTTGTTCTTTTATTCCCACAGATTTAAGCTATCAAATTTTTTGCACATTTCTTTGTTAATTTTGAATTTTTTCATGCACACCTTTGACCAAATCCTACATTTTTGCGCACAACACGATGAAAAAAGTTTCTTGTATTACAAGACCCGGTTCTTGGATCTTATGGAAAACGCCAATGGCATCTAAGACCAGGTCTAATACAAGAAACTTTTTTCATCGTGAAATTCGTAGAAAACGAAAGGTAGGTTTAAGTTAGAGCACTGCTAAAATCATGCGAAGCAATGCTTCGCAATTGCGAAGAATTTTGATCCTTTGTAATTTCGAATCATTTTTCTTTGCAATTGCGAAGCAATACTTTCCAATTGTGAAGAAAAATGGTACGTAGTTACAAAGGATCAAAATCCTTCGCAATTGCAAAGCATTGCTTCGTAGGATTTTAACAGTGGGCATTTGCACCTAATCCAACAAATACTTTCCGCGTGTAGTTTTACTGGCTGTGCGCTCCGTCGCGGTGCGCGGCGCAGCCTTTGCCCCTTCCAGGTGCTCTCTGCCGACTTTCGACAGGGCGTTGGTGTAGTGCCGTGACCCGCCCCCGCGCTCCGCCCTGCCTCCTTGCCGCGATATATTTCACACCATAACTCGATTACGGCTCTCGCCAACTTTCTGCGGGTGTCGGTCGGCCGGTCCCCGCGCGGCGCGACGCAGCGCAGGCCAGCGCAGGCCAGCGGCACTACTGCTGCTGCTGCTGGGCTGTCGGGGGGAAAAGAAGGAGAAAACCTGAGGCCACTCGAGGCCCGGGACAACTTTGTTATACGCCGGAGTCCCTTTTCCCAGTCCATGCAGAGGCTTCATTTTTTATGCATAAAAAAAATAACTATAAGAACTTGGGTGGATAGGAGTCGTCACTCTGCGAGCCGCGGCGGCCGTGTCGTGTAGTGGGCGGACTCGACACATAACCTCCAAGTAGTTCCCAAGCACGAGCTCCTATAAAACCGTATACACGTCCGTGGTGCTGGGAAACCCCCCGGATATGTAGAAATATTGGTTTGGGAGGATGTCGTGTAGCGGATCGGAGCGTCGTAGCTTTTTCTTGGGCGCGGGAAAAGAAGTAGTGCATTTCAGGGCTCACTTTTTATCTCACTTTCCGTTCGCGTACACTGTTAAAGTCATGCGAAGCAAAGTGTAGAAAAGCGAGGGAGATCCTCTGCACTACTGCAAATGCATTGCTTCGCAGGATTTTAGCAATAATGCATATTGCAGATAGGAGGACGCACTGTTAAGCGCCGCATACTGGTGTTGTTCGCAGGCGCGGACGCGGAGACCCGGCTGGAGGAGGTGGGCGCGGCGCTGATCCGCAACGCCTGCCGCGAGCCCCGGCAGCGGCGCGCGCTGCACTGCCTGGGCAACGACCTGAGCGAGTTCCTCACCACGCTGGACGGCGTGCACGACGTGCTGCAGCAGGGCGAGGGCGTGCTGCCCGCCACGGCGGCGCAGGCCACCTGCACGGCCGAGCCGTCCGCCGCCTTCGTCTGCACGCGGACGGACGCGCCCGGCGCGCAGCGGCAGCAGCTGCAGCTGCTCTTCAGCACGCAGCGGCCCGCGGCGGCGCACCTGCTCGTCGGCTCGATACGGGCCATCGCCAAGCACCTGCACGCCACCGAGGCCGACATCCGCCTGGAGGGCGCCGAGCCCGCCTCAAAGGACGGCCGGGGCGGCTTCCGGTACAGGTGAGTTCAGCGCGATTCGATAAATGCTCCCGCCCGTGCTCCGCAGCTCCGCACAGCCACCTCTCTCAACGAGTCCACAGAGGGTCGTATTTCCGCGCCAATGAAGCCCCCGGGGGGAGGGGGTGGGGAGGAAGTGATGCACGAGCCAGCCGAGCCCTGCGCCGCCGCTGTTGCCGGTACGGGGCACAGCACAGCTCTCTCCCGCCGCCCCGACACACGACACACACTCATCGCTCGTTTCGGAAAGGCACCAAGCAATAAGCAGAACGGGCGAGCCGTGCCATGCGCCGCCGTCCTGGGAACTAGCAGCGACCAGCTATTTCAAGAATGAATTTGTGCGTAGCTGTGTGTGTGTGCGCGCCAGGACCATCCACCTAATTTACCCGGCCTCACGCCCCGCACGGCACAGCATGGCCCAGCGAACCCGAAAATAAGCCCCGGCACATCGGCTAATGGATGCACAGCAAAGGGGGCGGCGGGGGGTTGTGGTGGACCACACCCCCCTCTCCCCCTGGACCCGCCCCCCACACACGGCTAACGCTGTCTTAATTCCGATGGCTAATGTACCGTAACGCCCACCTGCTGGCTAAATCCGAACCTGCCGGTGCTGGGTGTCCAGCGGTGTGCGATATGAGTGGGCACCGGGTCGTTTGGTGTGCGTGTGTGCGTGTGAGTGTGTGTGTGCGTGCGTGTGCGGGGGCAGCGCAAGGCAGTGGGCTGTAAGGGGTCGTGTTTGTTGGCCGTATAATGAGGGTCACATTATAATGAGGACAAAGAAGTTGCCGTGTCGCCGGCGGTGCGGTGTCCCCCTTGTACCTCCTTGGATTTATGACACGAAAATGAAAGTCCTCCCCCCCTCCGTGTGTTTTGCGGCAGGGTGCGTTCACTGTCCGCGTGTCCCTCCCCGGCCCGGTCCCTTCCCACTCTTTGCCACAGTCCGATGGCGCCGGGCTGGACCCGAATGTTTTTGCTTTAACTCCCCCCCCTCCCTCTCCTCTCCTTTTGCTCCACCCCCAACAATTCATCTAACGGCCATTCGATTGTCGCGCTTTGTAAAGACCAGAGCGCCTCTGCCTCTCCTCTACCCGGACGCGGACCCCGGACGACCCGGTCCGACCGACCAACCGACCGGACGGACAACGCACCCCGGGTTCCATACTTAGAAATGTATTTTTAAAATCATTTTTCGGTGTGCGTCGCTGTTGGCCGTGACCCTCTGCTCTCCCCTGAATCACGGCCGGTGCCGCTCGCGTCGCCCCGGGCGGCGCAACGTGTCAAACGAAGATGAGTTGCCGGCCTGTGTTGTGCGCGGCGGGATCCCGACACACGGGGACACAGGGACTTATTTAAACTTCGCCTTGAACGAGCAGGCGGAGCGGGCAGAGCTCGCGCTGCCGGGCGCGCGTATTATGACCTTTTGTTCTTCTGTTGCTTTTTCCTTCCTGCTCCACCACTACTTTGTGCGACTTTGTCTGTATGTGTGTTTCTTCTGCGTCCGCGCCTCGGTCTGCGCGTCTCGAACAACAACAGCAGTCAGTTCCAACTCTTCACGCCGTGCCGTCATACTTGGTAGTGGACGGGGTACATCACACAAAGATACGGATAGTGGCAAATCGTTCGCACGCGATGCCGCTTTGCACACGGCTACTTATGGCCCAAATAAAGGATTTGACCCGCAGAGGCAACAAAAATTTCCCTTAGGGAAAATTTTACAGGCCTTCAAAATTACCATTGCGCCTTACGGGAGGTCCGGGTAGGCAACCCGTCGCACACG